AACGCAAATCCGCTTCTAGGGGCTTTCAATTTGCCGATATGGAAGTCATAGCAACTGGTCAAAAGGTTTGAATCTTCTATTATATTTTCTCTCGGTTGTCAAAAGCGGAAATTTCGAGTAGTGCACAAAAATGCGTTATTTGGAGTAGAGAAAGGAAAACGTTGGTATGTGGGACTAACCTTTTACAGGGATTCGAAAGTGAGGAAGCAGACATTCGGCTCATTCCTCATTTCCCAGTGTTCTCGAACATGTTTCCAATGCGGACCCCACAAGCCTACAGGACGAACATGGGTTTATTTTTAGTGCAACCGCTCCCAGATGGTTCAATGAAAAACTCTTGATATACGCACAATCTTCGACATTCGAGCACATCTGCGTATGACTGCGCAAGGTTGTCAAGGGATTCGTGTTTTTAGTCGTTTTGGCCGCCTTCCAATTCGCATTTGCGGTGTTGTTTTTTCTCTGTAACGTCCTCCTCCCAATATAATTTTTTCCCAAAGGATTCTTGAAGTTCTTGATTTGAAGGATTCCTGATTTCATCAAAACGCATCCCCTCTTAAAAGATCATTTTTCAATTTCAAGACCATCCCGTGCGAGCTTTTTCCCAAGGGGCAGGAAGACAACAAAGAGCTACTCACTGATTCCGTGAATGCTCTGCTCGATGAAATCATCAAGCGTCCCATTGAAACTGTCGAAAGTATGAAACAAAGAGTAGTAGGAGATCCAGGAGTCCTTCGGGTTCCTCGACACATAGATAATCAAAAAAAGTAGGAGGAAATATCACATCCAGAGAGTTTTGTTTCCATGGAGAAACGTAAATATTGTTAAAAACCTGAAAACGAGAATTCATCCCTTCATTATTTTTTAGAATTTCCTTTAATCTCGACTTCCTCAAAACTTGAGAACATTCCCATCAATCCGCTGTCTGATGATTAACTCTTGTGATTATCTCTCATGATTATTTCTTAGGAGTATCTTTGATTATGAGTATCAGCGATAGATTTTGGCGAGGATGGCATTGAAGAAAGGTGGACCAAACCATTACAGATCTTCATCAGCAGAAATACTATCTCACAAGTATCGAGGAGAAATTCAGGTCTCTCCCCTTTGATTTGATTTTCCGCACCATTACAAGTCCGTAAGTGATATCAAAATCATGCAAATCGGCAAGGCATCCTTTAATTCCTCTCGTGCTGGATTCAACCACTCATAGCACTCATTTACCAAAAATTAATGCCTTCGTTCAAGCTTGGCCTAAAATATGAAAAATTGTGCATATCGCTAATCCCATCCGTACATCTCGAGTTATAAAGAGAGGCGCTCACGTAATTCAGCTCCTTTCTCAGTATGAGTGCTGAATTTGAATATTTCACAATGGTGTTCATGGACGAAGGAACACCAGAGTATGCATCAGTGTTAAAAAACTCGAAAAAGGCGACGATCTTTATTTACCTTATTTTTCCTGACTTCTGGAGGCAATAGTGAAATTGGTAAATGCGTCTTGATAACTCTGGGAGAAGGTAAGCTTTCCAGGTGAGGAACCATGTTCCCGTGTTTCTGGAAGTGCTTGTCTGCCTCCTCGATGGTGTCAAATGGAATGGCCAGCTGTGACAAATCTGGAAGTCCATCTGGAGGTACCAGGCAGTCCCACCTGCATGTCGATGCAAAGCCAAACGTGAAAGAACAAATTTGAATTCAGGGGGGCTTGCTCTGCAGACCTTTTTACGACCTTGCGCTGACATCACCTTAGCTTGAACTGGAGGTCTTGAACTTACAATATTGGAATTCCTGTAAAGAAATATATATAGATTGCAGAAATAACTTACTCGTAGAATGGAGTTCGGAACCAGAGGGGAAACTTGCGTGCATCTTCTATCTCATCAATGTTGACTATACACCAGGTCAATTCTTGAGTCCATGTTGTTCCTGTTTATTAAGACATGCTCTCATAGTGAAATCCCACTAGGTTATAAATTATGAAGTCATTGGACTGTCTTACATTGCCCTAATCATGGATGGGTGGGGAGAAGGTGTGACTCAAGTTAGAGAAAAAAGAACATACTGATGTTAGTCTGCTCAACTTTAATTTGCTACATGAAAAATTTCAATAATTTAAATTTAGCGTTCATGTTATGCTGCGAAACATTGATCATTAGATAAAAAAGGCTCGTACTTGAAAACAACCGGTCTGATTCACATTTCGATTTCACATATTTAAGTTTCCTATTCCTGATAAACATGATGCGACGATTCTAGATTTTTTCGCCTGAATGGATAGTACCTTTGCCCTTTTAGTGCTAACCCCCTTGTCAAAACGTTAATAAGCAGCTTAACTCGTGACTACAAAGTGCATATGATGAAATTTTTTTATCGCAATCGGATTTTTTGCTAATAAATGGCTTTTGATGTGTTCTTGATACCATGGCCGTGTTCGGAATGATGCCCTACGAGAAATTGGGTGTCAAAGGTCTCCGAACTCTCCTCGCCCCTCCCCCAATCCCCATAATGTCGACAATGGGCTCCATGGGAATTTTTTTTGATAACCCAATGGATATCATGGTTCAACCCTGATCATGGCTGGTTGAAAATCGAGATTTTTGTCAAGAATGTGTCATGAGTCCCTTATTACTTGTGTCTTACGTCTGTCTCCTCATCCCTCCCTTACTGGTCTCCCTAATCGTCGCTTTCTTCCCTGCTACTCGAACTGATTTCGACGCAAGATATTTGTCCTGGAGTACACATAAAATTAATGTGGAGAAACAAAGCAACTGAACTTTTCTTTTCTGAACAGATGGAAAAAAACAGCACTTTAGCTGGGACGGAATCACTTTTTCCCATTTCGTTACTTTATCCTTCTCCTCTTTCTTACCCATAATTTTGGATAAAAGCAGAGACCACGGATTTCCTATCCTACTATTTGTCCCAGTTATATCGCTAGTGGAAGACGAAGGCTATTCTGTAATTTATCCGAGAAAAAGATTCGCCATTGCCAAATATTCTAAAACAGACCCCCCCGAATCCACGGATACATTGAGTACATAGAGCATAACTCAACTGCTAATTACACTTAGTTTAATTTCTGTAGATCATTTCAGGTACACTACAGCAAACTTGTCGTTCAATACAAATGATGTTTATCAACAAATAAGTTGTTATCGGGAAGCAGTTTGTAAAGTAACTTAAAAACTGCAACTGAAATTCATGGTAATTCGCCCATCAACGAGCAGGAGTAATCCTCAAAATTCACTTGAAATGGTATATCATCATTCATTCATCACGAACAGAAAACAATATAATTTCATTTCTAAATTCATAAGCAGCATTCGTAATTTGTTTGGAGAATATTTCCATGTGCTGGCACCTTCCACGCTAGAAACTCCTTAAAAGAAACCCATGTTGTTGATATTTTTGCGACTAACCTGATCGGAGAAATGTGACGATCCAGATGTCATCCTCTCGAGGTTTGAACGTGTTTTTCTTCTGAAACTCCGAGTAGTATGCAAGCATGACGTAGCCATCCGGGATGGATCTTATGAATTTCTGGAACCAAAGATGCTGACTTTCCATTTTTCTGACGATTGGGTCATTCTAGCCCAGAGCTTCAAACGGAACCGTAACCATGTTTCCTGCGCCACTCTCGTCTGTGAATGACATGCAAATCACTGGGATTCGTAACTGTCTTCAAGAGTACTCTCTTAACAAAATCTCATGAAGCTACAATTGAGCACTATAATTCATACAAGAAAGTGAGAATTGACGAGGCCCGCACACGTATTCGCGTTCTTTTTCTGGTCACTATAATTATATTCCTTGATTCGCACATGAATCGGGAAACACTGCATTCAAACAAGCACGCTAAATACTTTCAGATGTCCAACTGCGAATGGTTGATGTTCGCAAGTGCGCATGAGGCACAAAATGCGTACAGTAGCAGCGAGAAACTGTCACATGCCTCACTCACGCATGAAATCCAACAACTGTCGATTTACTTACGATGTACAAAGGAAGCGATCACGCTGTTCTATCCTACGTTCACGGGTTCGAAAGACTGCGTCGCACATCCTTTTAGGGTGTTGGCCTCTCGAGCTCGAGACCCTAAGTGATGAGGGCGGCCTTGACTCATTCCAAGGACGTCGCTGGCTCTGCGTCGTCCTACTTCTCGAGCAGGCATTTCAAGTCATTCACACCCATGACGGTATGGGTAGATCTACGCAGAGCCAATGCTGCGATGGTGCGTTTTTTTTTTGTCCGTTTTTCACAGCCGTGAAAAGTAATCCTGGTACTGTGATTGGATTACCGCGGGATCCCTTTCGCCCTTCTGAACCGAAGGCAAAATTAGTTTAGATAAATGAATGTATGAAAAGTAGTGGAATAACCCAAGGATTCATTGGGACTGGTTTTGATCTCTTAGCCTGATACGATCTTACTTTCTTTTAAACTTCAACTTTAACTATTTCAATTTCCACTTTTCCTTTCAATTTTCGTTTTGTCTTTAGATTTTTTTTCTGCGAGACTTTCTCCCAGTGGAAAAGGTAAAATATTTTGATCGCTTCATTTTTCTTTGCTTCCCATCCCCGACCGTGACATTTTGCGTGAAGAATTTGGCCATGAGAGGCCTGGATGCCAACCAATTGCGACTATGAAATTGAAAATCTTCCCAGATGAAATTCAACGACTGTGTTGTAGCCCTTTTTTTTTATCAAGAGCCAGATTTTTTTATTTTACTCCAGCAGATTGACTAATTGCTCTGACCTGCAACCTGTGCAAAAATCTCACAGGTGAGGTGCAGAAATTTACCGGCAACAGTGGGTGTTGAAATTCCATGAAGTCACGATAGTGCTGTAATACCTGAGTGCTGCATTCAGCTAAAGTTTAGAGGTCCCAAATAGAGAGGAAATGGGAATTTATAATCATGCAGGATCGTGCAATCTTTCTGCATGAATTCCATTCTTTATCCCCCATATGTGTATGATTGGACGGACCAGAGAAGGAAATTTGATAGTATGATCTTCTCAGTCACACGGTTAAGAAGTGGGAAGAGTCATATTCTCACAGACTTAACGAAAAAAGTTTTGTCTTCTGACTGGGAGGAGGGAAAGGGGGGGGAAGAGGAGATTCCATGACATTTATCTGAAGCTCAGGGGAAAAGAACTCCTCTGCAAGCAGGATCAAGAGAGAAGATAGGACCCAAAGGTGAAATTCTGGTTAAACCTGAGGAAAGTTCCCCCTCGCACCGTCGCTCTTGTCTTTGTTATCCTTTTGAGACGCTTTGGATTTATGCTATTCCCCATGTGGCTCGGTAGCCATCATGACCACAAGTCAGTCTCTACACTGACGCGACCTGTTCGAGTTAGTGAAGCATTACCCGAATAAGCATTAGGTGTACTATTTCATTACTAGAACTTTTGGTGTGTGCAGTTATTTAAGAGTGATAACTTTTTGAAATACCTGGGATGATTTTACCTCATGTAATATTGGCAAATGTAATTCCTATGGATGAGTCCAAATGTTAACTTAGCGCGATCTCTTCTCAACTGAAATAGTTTCGTCCTCATTTGAACCACCTTCAAAATCACGAAGTATAAATTTGTGAATGGCATTTCGAGGTGTATATAAAGAGTGGATGAAGGTCGTCGAAGGAGATGGAAATGCTTATTCCCTAGTGGCACATAACATTGAAACAACATTGATTCGATGTTGATTCAACAGTGAATCAATGTTGCTCCAATGACATATGCTGCTAGAGTTTGAAAAGAAGCAACCTTCCAAAGGCAACCTTGTGGAGGTATAAGAAAACTGGATTTTGGAAACGTCTTCCCAAGAACTCCAATGTGGGAATCGTCCTGCCAATTCGCCAGACCAGTTGGATATGAACCCTGCTTCGGGAAGTGATGATGAAGTCCGCAACATTTCTCACTCGAGTACGCAAAGGATGATTTGCTTAAAAAGACATCCTATTGAAATATTAAGTTAGCAGTGCAGCAAGAAGTTGGTGCTGAGTGTTCTCACCCCAGGTAGCACATAACATTGATTCAACGTTGATTTGGTGTTGGTCAAATGTTTCACCGTTGAAGGTTTATACTTCTATGTCGAATGAACATTGAATCACTGCAGCACTATTCACTGCGGAAGTGTCAACATTAAATCTGCCTGCATCCACGGGATTCTTTTGCAGTAAAAAAAATCCCTTTTTTAAATCATTTTTTTTACTTGCTCTAGACATTCAGCATGCATTTTCTATGAAGGCATAGAAAATTATCCTGATCCATATATCTCTCTATGCCATCCCTAACACTACCACGGGAGAGAAAGGCATTCTACCCATTCCTCCGCGTTCCCCCTCCGGATGCTCACACCTCCGATAGGGAATTTTTTGCAGGGAAGTGCAAAAGTCCCCCCCATCACACTTGGAAGTTCCCTTTCACACCTTGAGGAAGGATGACTTTCTCGCCGGGGATGAGATCTCCGCCCATATATTTCTCGGGATCCGGAAAAGTCGTATCGTACGCACGAACACCCCCGTGAGTAGGGGGGAATGGGGTGGGGATGCGCAACACGTACATTGTCAGCTGCTGCTGCGCAGAGCGTTCATGGGGCCGCTCACTGAACTCGTGAATATCGGAATATACGACACGCTTAGCCTCTCACTATCGAGAACGGGATGGAGGGATGGATGAACTTTATATCGTTGAGAGGGCTGTTGAGTTTTAGGGCTGCCGACTGAGCTCGGGAATTCCCGAGAAACAGTTCGTGGAAGACATCCGCGGATTGGGGCGTCCATCTCACACTCGCACTTTCTCTCCGGCCTTCCGGCCAACCGTCGGATCCATTCTTGAGAATAGGAATAGGAATCTCCATAAATAAGGGATGTTCGCACCTCGATGTGAGCTTTCATGCAGGAAACCCCAGTACAATACTTCCAGTTTTCCTCGAGTCCCGTTTTCCTCCGTGCTAAGGAGAGTAACTCTGGAGGGTGAACGCGGCGGGATCTCATCAGGGTGGGACAGAACAGGATGGCTTATTTTTGGATTGCAAGTATGCCGTCGGTTGGGTCGTTATCATCCCGTATCTATATCCGTATATTTCACTCATAGGCTTGCACGCAAAGTGATGGAGATGGTATTTACGGACGAAGCGGACAGGGTTGCAATCAATGAGGAAAAGTGCCGATAAATGTAAGGGCGAAGACCTCACCCCGGCGAGGAAGTCATCTTCCCTTCAGCGGCATGAAAGGGGACTCCAAGGGTTGTCGGTGGGGACACGTAAAGAACGGGAAAGAGGGGCTGTAGCCAATAGCCATGCGAGGGCCATCGAGTTTTCGGGCCGCCGAATGAACTCGGGATTTCTTGCCGAAGAGTACGTGGAAGTCTTTCACGGGTCGGCTAGTCGTCATTAATTTGCAAACCTCACCATATACTACCAGACAACTTTTTTAAATTAACCGCGGCCACAATCTGATCCGAGCTTGAGGAGATAATGCCTATCTATCGTCCTCTGTTGAGCCCTGCAGTGCAGCTCTGCAAACATGAGCATACAACTCGACCGTTGCTTGACTTCCGTTTGGTTCTTTCCCGACCGTACTGACTCCGAGGCATCTTCTGTCCTGACATGGGAGTGCTGCGATGAAACTATGGCATTTTCTATATTTGCTCTTCATGCCACTTAGTAGCACGAAGAGAAACCACAGGGCGCCATCCTTCACGGATTCAACTATTAGGGAGATTGATCTAGCGTAGTCCAATCGTTCATTTCCGAGTTCACATGACATCTGCTGCGAATAAGAAAGAATACAGCACTTTCGATTAATCTGAAAAGTTCTTTAAGCTTTCAAGCATTCATTTTATTTGAGGGAAGAAATTTGCACGTAAGTGTTTTAAAAGTTTAACTTTCACGAATAAATATTCACTCCTGAAAGACTTCTCACTTGACACTGGGACGGAAAAAAAGCAACATGGGTGCAAGTTTTTTAAATGAAATTTTTCAGAGGTACTTTCCAAATTTCGAGTGAAATCATTCTTCTTTAGAATCTTTAGATCTGCTCAAAAGCAGGTCCTGGACAAATCGATTTTGAGAAGAACTCCCATGGATCTGCTAGGCAGTCAGGTCGAATGGAAATTGCAGCTTGAACTGCTTCGGAAAACCCCACAGCTTAGATTTTACTCTCTCAGGAAACTCCATCCACAAGGCTATTCTTTGTTCTCTTCGCGCGCGCGCAGAGGAGCATAGAGAGAACCCAGATTCGCTGCTGGCGTGTGATGACGCAAGATTGAATGTGAGGCTATGAACTCTATTTCTAGCTTCGAATTGCTCTGGTTCGCGCTGATGGGACATTTCATCAAGCACAAGCACAATGCTCGTTCATGTCCTATGTTAGATATGTCGCAAATTGAGGACCAAATAGGTAAAAGCCACAATAACTACACTCAGAGAAATTAGTAAATCTAAATGATACGCTGTTGTCAATTTTCGCACTTCGATTTACTTTTTCAAGAGGAAAAGGCATCAACATGGAATTCTGATTTATATCAGTCTCTTCCCGACCGCACCGGCTCGCCTAAAAGGCATCTGCCAGACCAAAATGTATCTATTGCCGAGTCGAGAGGGAAGGTTTGTTTAGCCTTGGATCGTCAAGACGCAAGTCAACCTCCGTCTTCCACTTCATGTGGAAGAAGGGTCCAATCATAAACCCTCGGGGTTATACGAATGCATTGGCTGTTGAAAGGTTCACATGCGAACGCGTGAGAGTGCATGGCCTGTTCGCCCTATTAATTTCAGTCCGGCCTGTTCGAGTAGCTCGTACGTCTTTCAGGATTTCTAATGTGATCGGTTTCTCCATTTTTCGAGTCCAGTTTCTATTGCGTTTGTATTTTGTTTCGTGTATTGGTTGGTGCTACACGTATCGCCAGTAGACTACGCTTTCAAGCTTAAACGTCAATGATGTTCCAACATGAGATTCATCTGACGTTAGGTTATTCGCAGCCTATCGCCTTGAATAACAAGTGCTTCCACGCCTTCTCTCAAACTTAATCGCCTTCCCAAGTAATGATATACGATGTCAAGAAATGGTACGCATCTTTTCGCCCTTGAACACTAGATGAACTTTGATGTTCTTGACTCTGAAGTTATTGAGCCTCCGGTCGCCAATTCAAGTGACATCTGTTGCACAGACTCATTTAGGCTAAGGTGGATCTTTCCAAGAATCTTTTCCATAATATCAGGTCTTATTGATGTTCCTTTCCTACTGGAAGGTAAGCTGTTCTGGAGACTTGCAGTTTCCAAAAGTTTCCTCTCTACCTGTTAATTTGTCTCAGAGATGGTGGTTCTCTTCCGTATTCCCTTCTGAATCGGCAATGACTCTCATTATCATTCCCGTATGTTATAATCTAGGCTGCTCATCGAACCTTATATTTTTGGGTAAATTCCATCATGAATTTATATAGTAAAGGGCATCCCGTTAAAGGCAAAGAAAATCCCAAGTAATTTGCTTGAAATAAAAAAAATTATCTGAGTTCCACCGTTGGACAACATTTATGGGACACCCTGTACTTTATCTGAGGGGAAAGAGAGGGAGGTTTTGGAGATAGGAGTATGTCCTGTATTGTGCATTCATCAGCCTGCTTCACCTGTTGCATTAGCCGAGTGGATCATACGAACGTTAGATTGGTGTTTATGGCATTGAAAATGTGATTGCTGTTAGCGTTGGGTATTTATGGAGCTCACGTCAAGTACTGCCTGGTTTGCCAGTGTGACGCAGAGAAGTTTACTTCTCATGGTTCTTTGGAAATTTTCATTCCATGGCTTCATTTTTTAGTGCCAGAAAACTGGTCCTTTTATTATTTTATGGAACCTGAGTGACTCATAACAGGGGAAGATTTAAATCTCAAAGCTACAGAAGGAAACTTACTTCATGTGACGTTTCTAGTTTTAACCCGTGTACTTATTAAGTGCATCAGTTTCCTACCTGTGGACTCAAAAAGGAATGCCTTTGGCTGTTTATGGCGTTACGACTGTTTTCTTACTCATCCTAGTAATATCTAGGAAGGAGCAGTCCGACTGACAGATTTTATGCATATTTCAACAGGTTTGACCCCGCGAAAAACGCCGCCACCTTGCCTTCGTGTCCGCTTCCGAAGTGATAGCCCAATTCACGAACCAGTTGGAGCGCGTCGACATCGACGGCCTCCTCAGGAACTATGGAGGGAAAGGGTCATAAAGCCCCCACAATTGCATTTTGAAGTCTTGATTAAGTCCTTCAAAGAGAAGCTGACCTTCGTGCAGCAGCTGGTCTCCACCGGAGGCGACAACGTCTTTCCAACCTTCTCTGTATGCCAGCGAACTCTGAAGCAATGGCAGCAAGCAAGAGTTTTGGAAACCGGTAAGTTGTAAAAAGGGGCGTTTATCTTTAGTTTATCTTTAGAGACTGTTATATTTGGACACTTCGCGAAACCACCCAGGGGGTGGTAGAGTAAGAAATTAATTTAAATTCGCATTCTCAAAAAGCGAGAATCAGTGTTCCTTGCAACCCTTGGAATTCGAGCTACAAATTTGCCAAAGCGTTTCTTTGTTGAAAGCGCAAAAAAGAATGCCCTATTTCGGTCCTCCAGATGCATGTAGAGAGTAATACGAAAAGGTTGAATTTTGTGACAGGAAGGGGCCGAAGAAAGAGCCTAGGCAGCTGCCTCGCCCATTGATGAAAGAGCAGTAGACCTAACACAGGCACATGAACAATAGCACACTTCATCTGGTGGAGAACGCAGGCAAGGCCGAACTGGCGACTAAATGACAGTTAAATGTGGGATTAATTATTTCAGCCTCAGCCTATGCACAAATCGGCCTTATAGTGTTGCCCTACCTCCAGGGACTTATTCTCTAACTAAACTGGACCAAACTTGAGACACCATGGACACATTGAGTGTATCAGAGTTTTGTCTACTGAGGGATTGTCAGCCATGGCTTGACTGCACAGAGGCCACTCCTTCATCGGCATCATCCACTGTAAGAGGTCAGTTTTTCCCTGGTGGGCTGGAATGCATGCGCCAGGGTTGACCATTTATACTGCCTCAACTAGGAGAGGCAGCCACCTCGTACTTGGACACCTAGAAAATCCAGCAGACTCTGAGACTTGAGTTCTTAATCTCACTTTTACTCATCCTTCCGTTGAATGGGAATGATAACGCAAGGAATGCAGCATTAAATTTGAGTAAATAGCCCCAATTCCGAAGATAATCGCATTTGATTAAATTAAAAATGTATGCATGACACCTTCCCTGGACCAGAGAACTGCATGTATTTTTCAATTACGAGAAGAAAACCCACTCACTACTCCCGTTGCACAAACTCTTGGTCTCAGTTGCTTGGTAATTGGCTTTTGAAGGTTTAAGACATATCCTCAAGTGTTGTCCATTGGTGTAGACATGGACAGTGGGAGACATATTTTGCATATGTGGGCTGGCTACGTTGAAAGGATCTCCAATTTGTGCGAAATGAATGCCCGCAATCAATTCATAGAAACATGGCATAATCTTTCTAGAGTTCCGGAAGGCGCCCCGATTAACAACCTAAGACGAGCCAAGACCGTATTGAAGGACGAGGACGTCTACATCAACATCGACAAGTTCCTGGACACTTTAGCAGAGAGAAGGATAATCTCAGTCGCCCAAGAAATCCAAATCAGGGATATGTCAGACTACCACGCCAAGATAGATGCCGTGTTCAAGATACTATTCGCAAAGGATGTTGAGAGGCATTACAAAGAACTCATAGAAGCCCTGAAGAGCATGGACCGCCTCGACATCGTCAGGAAGATTCAGATGTAGTCCTGCGGAGGTACCAACATAAAACTGCCTTGCAATCTTTCACACCACTGATTTTAGAAATTAAAGGTTCTTCCGTAGAAATCCACCTTGACTTGCTGATTTCTTTCTCTATTACAAGTGATTTTGATTTCCTTCCTTTTTACTTGATTTCAAGAATAGTTCACAGGCAGTAAAAGTTATTGAATATTCCTTGTTCCTGACGTGAGAACTTGGATGTCATCGGCATTTGTCTCCATAGTTTTCCCTTCTTGTTATTGTAAGTATGAATTTAAATAAAACCGTGTCATTTTTTATTTGAGAATCCCATTATGCAAGAATCCCATTATCATAATGTGAGACACAACCTTTTCCCTAAACCTGCACCCAACAGCGTTTTACTCGTTAAGCCACATTGACTATGAAGGAAAAGTAGGATTAGATTGGATCTGACAAATTTTCAGATTATGAATTTTAAATTATTGGCTCTTGAGAGCGAGTATTAGGGAATTTTTTGTTTCCGGTCTAGAATGAGCTTCTCGCGCAGAAGACATTTCTGAAGATGGAAGATTTCGTACCTCCTTCGCACGTCCTCCTGCATTGGTGTCTTTTTCATGCTAAAGACTCAAAAACAGATGTGGGTCTTAAAAGAGCCTGGGATTACTAATATATTGGGAAGACAATACTGGCTTGGCCTGTAATGCCAATCTCTCGAGATGATGGAAATGTGCTTGATAGAGGGTTCATCACTTTCATTCGCGATATAAGTCTTAGTTCCTTTCAAGAAAACCAACGAGACCCAAGAGAAATTGTGAGGCTCTGAGGAGGAAATGACATTTAACCAGAAAATCCATCCGACTTGAATGCAACAGAAAACCTTTTACCTATCATAAAAACTGACGCAAAAAATCCGGATCCACAAGGAGAGCCCGAGAAAAATAAAGTTGAAATTCTATTGAAGGGAAACCTTACTTATACGCTCCATGGCTTAGAAAACCAGAAATATTTATTTCCAGTACTATTTGATCTTACCCTTGTCGCATGGAACCGGCTTATTTTGCAGGTGGCGGTCACAACAGATTCATAAACTTATCATTCGAGTTCCGTTTTCATTCAGAAAGGTGATGTTCAGTTGGTTTTTCTAGCGGTGCATTTTGTTAGGTTGCAGTGGTGTATTAAAAGATTCTGTCTTATTCGGTATTAGCCCCGCGATATTACATGGTTTGAGAATTCGGTCTTCTCCATGTAGCAAACATTGATAATGATGCAAGTTTGGCTCCACCCAGGTTCTTTATCTGTATCTCATGCTCATGTGTGAATTTATGGAATGATCATGTACGATCCTCAAAGGAAGTGACTTCAGAGGGTTTACAATGTGTGGGGTTCAGGATGACAAGTAGGTGAACACCACCAAAAATATGGATGCATGATATGCTGGAGAATCTGTGATTTTTATTGAAATCGACGGAGATGTAGACGAATTCATTTTAAAGAACCATTTTTAATATTTATTTTCATTTTGCACAACTTTCTTCTCGTGAAGATATGAAAGTCATCAAAATAAAAGATTTTTCCCTGGCACCCATCCTTTACCAAACCGGTGGAAACGTTTCCTCCAAGGATAAATGGTTCATCCTGGAGTCACTTTCATTATTGCCCACTTTCAAATGTGAGAGGTTCCATGTCAAGACTTTAAAATTTCACGTGACAGAACTGTTTGATTAATTCCATATCTAAGTATTAGAATTAATTAAATGAGTCCGCTTTCATCAGTCATAAAAAGAAAAGACTTTCTGAGACATGATCTTGGCATTCACTTTTTTACTTTTAAAATTTCCTTTCTTTCCATAATATAGCTTTCTCATGGAACAGCAACCACTCCGATAATCTGTATTGGAGGAAACAGGGATATCTTATTCCATGATTCCCTGGAATGTATCCCCTCACCTTTCAGTGAGCAGAATATATCAGAAGTTGAACTGCCAATTCCTTGCAATGTCCTACACCTTTTGAATTTTTAAGTCGAACATTCTACGTGGATCCTTTGGGCTTCGTACGAGTCGTTGGTTAAAGTTTCATTTAATGGCAGGTGCATTTTCCATGGAAATCTAGAAGAATTTTTTATGTATGCTAAAACAAATTCACCATGCTTCTCGTGTACTTTTGTAGGTAAGATATTCAAGAAAGGGTGTTTCATCTCCCTTGACAAAAGGATCGGAGATTTAGCCATTGCAAAGATGGAGAAGCTGAAGGCCAGACGTCTCGAAATTGGGGCTATTGACGAACAGGATGTGACTGATAGACTAATGTATGTGCTAAATGGCAACTGAATATGTTTTATGGTAAGAGGGAGAAAAAGGTAACTTTTGATGGGGTCAAATGGATTGAAACAGTTCAGGATATGATACAAATGCGATTACAGAGAACCCTTTGCCAAGTAGGGTAAAACGCATGGTATATACTTGTACATGTGCGACTGACTTTCATATCGAAGATTTATTTTGTGACTTTACTTTGCGAATTGTGTGCTTCGATTCCGGAGAGCCAGATAAAAAGAGATAAGAATGACAATGAGCATGCAGTATGGCAGGGACTCATGAGATGGAGAACTCACAGGACGTAGAGGGGGACTGATGACATCAGTGCGCTCTTGCTGCATTCCCTCTCCTTGAGTCAATAGGTGTGAATCATTCCTCCCCATGACGCGAAGATGACACGTCAGTTCCTCCATATCTGTTCTTTTCTGGCCTTCCATTATCCTATAGGATAATGGAAGAATATTAGATTATAAGATCTGTACGAATAGGTACAAATAAATCACATATTCTAGAGTTCCGATCCAAGACCGTTAATTGCGAGGGTGGAATATGGAACAAAAAAAAAACGTGCTACTATTCTTACCATGCCGATATCACGACTGAAAATGTAGTGGAATCGATAATGAACTCACCAAACATGCCGGTCGGAGAAACTTCTGCGAAGCCGTGGAATTGCAAATAGGGATTTTTTTTCCACAGATCCGAAGCCCGCCAATCCGGATGACATCCGACAGGTGAAGTATGTGATGAAGGAAAGGAAAATTGTCGTGTCTCTTCGTCGACGTCCTCGCGAAGAAGAGGCTCTTGTTCGTGGTGGAGGAGAAGGAGACCAGGGAGGAGCGGCGCCACAACAAGATCGATGCCATTTTCGATATCCTCCTCGAATGCCCGTGAAAACCAAATGAGCCAAGTCTTCGCAATTGATTTAAAGAAATATGCATAATTCGTTCAATAGAATTTGGGCGAAGTAAAGCTGATGTCTCTCGTGAACATGGACTCCATGGTTCATCTCCTTCCACAATTTTGAAAAGACGTGGCGGTTTCATCAGTACTTAGGAGAAAATGCCACAAAACAAGAAACTTCGTAGATTTGCTCGAGATAGCGTCAACAAATCCTTACTAAAGAGGTTCCAGGTCAAAAAAGTGCGAACTTCACGATTAGAGGGCCAATGCTTATAGTGAAGCCAGTGCAGGACGACCGATATGCATCAGAGTTGTATGTAACATCAATTTTAAAAACAAAGAAACAGGAATGTCAATAAAGGCAACCTCGGTTATGACATACCTTAATTATAACGGCGATTTTTCCCTTGTCCCTACCCTAGTAGCACATAACATGGAAACAACATGTATTCAATGTTATGTGCTACTAGGGTTCAATGACGTCATAACCAAGTTCGACTATACTCTTTAAAGCACTTTTAAATTCATTATCTATATTATCGCATTTTCAATCGCCGGAATAGGAAGGGGTAATGCCCAAACGCTGACAATTCAACACTGGCACGACGTGACACGTGAGCGTGTTTTCAATGTTCAACTGGTTTCATTTCAACATCGCGACAACAATGATTCCACCTTTTTTCCGCGACTTGTCCGCCCATCTGATATATCAGTGCAGCATCCACTGGGGATGCAATGAGCGGGGCTGATGCACTGGATCATTAATAAGAATTTTGAGATTCGAACCAGCCGTAATTTAAAAAAAAATGAATTGTGATGGAATCGTGAAAGCAACCATTCTTGCAGATGTTTTAACACAAGCGGCCCCATCCTGCCTCAGCAGGCTTTTCCCAGCTCTGGCTCGCGGAAGAGCTTCCAATGTGTTCACCGTCCACCTGAGACATGCACGCAGACCGTCAAGAGAAAACCGGATCACGATTTGGATCATCCCTCTCAATCGGGACTGTGCTCGAACGAAGCAGTCGTCGGACCCTCGTTCTTCATCCGCCTCATACCGCGCATCTTGCAATACGATCTGGAAAGTGTTCTTCTGTTCACGATCGGACTCTTACGTCTTA